CTCAAAGCCTATTGTAGTCTATTCCGTGTTGTCATTGCTATATAGGGGAGAGTAGAGGTCATTTCTTTTAATGCCTAGTCTAAATGAGTCTTGTACATTTTAAGCCCACGCTGTCTGCTTTGTACTCAAAGTCGCACAATTAATGCAAATTTCTTTCTCTTGTGTAAAGAGCAGAAACCTCCACCCCACCCACCCTGCTGCTGTATGAGTTGGCAGATCACAGAGCAGACTCGCTGTTAACACTGCCAGAATCACAACAAGTACCAGAACCAGAATAGAAACACGTGTTCAGCTTTCAGCCCAAGTAATCCATCAAACTGTAACAACTGTGCTTATTTTTAGGCTCATGCTCTAACTTTCTTCCCCTCCCCTCCCTCCCCTGGGACGAGGAGTCCAATAGTGCAGGCTTCTGAACGCAATTGAAAAGCTGCGTGTGGAACTGAATTCAGGTCCAGCATTAAAAGGAAAGGGTTGTCATCTTATCCAGCCTCCCAGCACATTGCCCCACTCAGTTTGATTGGATCCAAGTCTCGTGGATTATCTCACCCACTGTCATATACAAGCTTGAATTAAAGAGAGACTAAATCTGATCAAACCTAGGAGAAAGTATAACATTCACACTGTTGCTCATGGTCGTGCTCCACCATTGTCAAGCCCTCTTGGACGCTACCCTGTGTGAGGTTGTCCCAAGTTGCTGTTATTGTTGGTCTCAGGCCCTGGCTTTGGGCTGGAGCCTGGTAGATCAAACAGTCCAGGTATGACGCTTGTGTGCTTGTAGAGAAAGTTACATCATGGACAGGACCAGTCTCCTAGAGCTTTATAAAGAAAGAAGATGAATATAAATAAACCGGGAGCTGTTCGCTGGCCTCTGGGACAGGTAGTGATAAACGGGCAGTCCAATTCATAGCTTCTTAATGCAGTTACTCTGAGGTGTGTCTGCTTCAGTGTAGTGGAATGGGTCCAGCTGATCTGGTGCCAGACTGTGATATCTGCGAAGCTAATGTTAAACCGATTGCTGTTTGTTCCTCAGCTGGTAATGTTGTCATGATGGTTGTACCTGGACTGCAGCAAACCAACATAGACAGAGGTATTTTGTTGCAGCTGCTTCTATAGTTGAAATTTGTGTTCCTTTTTCCTGGTTTTATCTGGCTCCCTTCCACATCCTGAGAACTCTTCCCATGGATTTTCCAGTTTTGACTTCCATCCTAGTTTTTCTGTGTTATTTTCCTGCCTGCAGACTCACCAATAGTGACCTGACAGCGGGATTTGTTTGTTTTTTGTGGATGGTTCATTCACCACATCAGAGTGAGTGGAAGTTGTATCACATGATTCTGAGCCCCTGGGCAGGGTCTAACCCATCTGCTTGCTATTATTCATACAGTGAGGGTTCCCATCTCACCATCTCCTGACTTTGGGGAGTCAGGAGACACAGCCTTCACTTTATCTCTTGAAACGTTTTTTTTTGTAGGAGCAGGAGTAGGCCATTCGGCCCTTCGAGCCTGCCCCGCCATTCAATCATGGCTGATCTTCTAATCTAACTCCAGCTAATAACCTGACCCTGCCTTCTCCCCATATCCCTTAATCCCTTTTGCAATAAGAAATCTATCTCAGTCTTGAATATGTTCAAGGACTGAGCGTCAACAGCCCTTTGGGGTAGTGAGTTCCATACATTCACCACCCTTTGAGTGAAGAAGTTCTTCCTCAACTCAGTGCGAAAGGGCTGGCCTCTGATTTTAAGGTTGTGACCCCTGGTTTTAGTTTCTCCAACCAGGGGAAACAATCTCCCGCTATCTACTCTCCGACCTATTATCCCCCTACCTACCTGCCCGTACCCTCCATTCCTCTGGCTCCGGTCTGCTACACATCCCCCGCCCCAACTGCCCTACCATCGGTGGCCGGGCCTTCAGCCTCTCAGCCCCTAGGCTCTGAAACTCTATCCCCCAGTGCCTTCGCCTTGCCTCCTCCTTTTCCTCCTTCAAGGCCGGTCTCAAGACCTTTCTCTTTGACCGTGCCTTCAGCTCCCCTCTCGACTCTCTACCCCCTCCTCGCTCCCTCCCTCCCTCCCTTCCCTCCCCTCACCCTGACCATTTCCCCCTTGCCCGGGTCCTGACCCAACTGTACAGCACCTTGGGACGTCCTCCCGACATGAAAGGCGCTCTATAAATGGAATCTTGTTGTTGTTGTTGTACTCTATCATGCCCTTTGATGATCTTATAGGTTTCTATAAGATCCCCTCTAATTCTTCTATATTCTAGAGAATATTGGCCTAAATTGGTCAACCTCGTAGCTCAACCCCTTCGTCCCTGGTACTAACCTAGTAAATCTACGCTGCACCCCCTCCAAGGCAAGTACATCCTTCCTTAAATGAGGAGACCAAAACTGGACACAGTATTCCAGGTGTGGTCTCACCAGGGCCCTATACAGTTGCAGCAAGACTTCCCTACTCTTATACTCTTTTCATAATGAATGCTAACATACTGTTCGCCTTCCTAATTGCTGCTGCACCTGCAGACTAACTTTCTGTGATTGGTGTACAAGGACACCCAAGTCCCTCTGGACGCTAACACATTCCAATCTCTCCCCTTCTAAAAACTAACCCGCTCTACTGTTTTTGCTACCTAGGTGGATGACTTTGCACTTCCCTAAGTTATACTTCATCTGCCACCTACCTGCCCAATCACCTAACCTATCTATGTCTCGCTGCATTTTTTTAATGTCGTCTTCTGTGTTGGCACTTCCTCCTAGTTTTGTGTCATCCGCGAATTTAGATATATTAACTTCGATGTCCTCATCAAGATCGTTGATGTAGATGGTAAATAGCTGAGGCCCAAGGACTGATCCTTGTGGCACTCCACTAGTCACATCCCGCCAATCTGAAAAGGACCCGTTTATCACTACTCTTTGTTTCCTACCCATTAACCATTCCCCAATCCACGTTAATATGCTCGCCCCAATTCCATGGGCCCTTAACTTTTGGACTAACCTTTTATGCGGCACCTTATCAAATGCCTTCTGGAAGTCCAAATAGACCACACCCACTGATTCACCCTTATCTAGTTTACTGGAAATACCCTCAAAAAACTCTATGAGATTTGTCAAACATGACTTCTTTTTTGTAAAGCTGGGTGGGTTTCTCCTCCCACCCCCACCCAGTCACCTATGGTGTACCCCAGCGCTCCATCCTTGGCCCCCTCCTCTTCCTCGTCTATATGCTCTCTCTTGGTGATGTTATCCGCAGACATGGGATAAACCTCCACATTTATGCAGATGACACACAATATCTACTTCCTCTTCAGCTGCGATTCCAGGTCCGCCGATGTTCTCACTGCTTGTCTGGCAGACATTAGGGCCTGGATGAGCGAAAACTTTCTACACCTAAATGTTGATAAGATGGAAGCCATACTCATTGGCTCCCGTCGACGTCTTCGTTCCTGTGGCTATGACCTCCTCAACCTCCCCGGCTTATCCCTCGGACTTACTGAACCAGTACACAACCTGGACGTCAGGTTTGACAGACAGCTGTCCTACTTTCCCCACATACGGTCCCTGACCAGGACCACCTTCCTCCACCTCCACCACATTGCCCGCCTTTGACCGTACCTTATCCCAGACTTAGCCGAAATACTCATCCATGCGTTCATCACCTCCTGACTCGACTTCTCAAATATCGTCTTTGTAGGTCTCCCCAGGTCCACCATGTACAAGATCCAGCTGATCCATAACTCCTCTACCCGCATATTCACCCACACTAAACTCTGCACCCCCATCACAGCAATTCTAGCCAGGCTCTATTGGCTTCCTATCGCCTATTGGATCAATTTCAAGATCCTCACTCTCATTTTCAAATCCCTTCAAGCCCTGGCACCTCCCTACCTCTCTGACCTGCTAATCCCCCAACCGACTACCTGCTGCATCTGCTCGGCTAGCTCCGCCCTCCTATATGTCCCTCGTGCTCTCCGTTCCACCAACAGTGGCTGCGCTTTCAGCCACTACGCCCTGAAACTATGGAGCAATCTTCCTCTATCCCTCTGGCTTGCCCCTTCCTTCCCCATCTTTAGGTTGCGCCTGAAGACCTTCCTGTTCGACCATGCCTATGGCAACCTCCCCCACCCCATGGCTCGGCATCATGGTCCATCACTGTCAAGCGCTCTGGGATGCTACCCTGTGTGAGGGGTGCTATATAAATGCGTTGTTGTTGTTGTTTGGGCTCTATGATGTGTTGATCACTGAAGCTTGCTATCCTTTATTTACATTTGTACCATGGGATTCTCCAAGACACTGTCCGCCCGTCGGGATAAACCTTTGTGACTTCAAAGCACCGTGTGACTGTGAGTTTCCGATTTGTCTGAGAGTATCGGAGCTGGTGCTTTGGATGCTGCCCACAATGTAATATGGGTCAAATTCAATCCCCTGCCATGGGCTACTTCACATCCACTTCTCAATGAGCTGGTTATCTGAACATAACCCTGAGTTTGGTTGTGTCTCATTGCCTTGAAGGATTTGAACTATACGATGTCCCACAGAGCGGTGAGACTTGTATCAGGGTGATCAGGGGCAGGACTGGTTCAGCACAGACTAGGGATCGAGCTTGAGAATTTCAGTGTCTGTATGGCTCAGTGTTACACTGCACAATGTCAAGGAGGAGGAGGGGCAGTGGAGCTTCCCTCATTAGTTGTAATTGTGTTTCCAATATCACATGTTACCCGATAGCAAGTTCTGTATAATGTTTAAGATTGTGCATGATGTTTAATGTGCAGTATTGAAAAGGAGAAGGGAGTTTCTCCTGGTGGCTTAGCCAACAATACCACAAAATAAAATTGTCTGTTTGTGGAACATTGCAAAGCCTAAATTGGTTGCTTGAAAATATACAGTCACTGCACTTTACAGTAAAAGCTGTAAGCATTGAGGCATCTTAACTTCTTGATAAGGTACTTTATCATATGCAAGGAATATTATTATAATCAGATTCAAAAGGAGCTTCTTGTGTGTTTTTTTNCCAGGCATTTGGACAAGCGTATTCCAATCATCGTAAAGTAGCAGAGGATGGGGAGACCCGGGAGGAGACTCTCCTGCAGGAGTCTGCGTCAAAGGAGGCGTATTATCTCAGCAAGATCATGGAGTTGCAGTCTGAGCTCAAGCAAGCCAGGACTGTGGTCACTAACGTCCAGTCCGAGAACGAGCGAGTCACCATACTGTCTCAGGATCTCAAGGAGGTAACCATGAGGGTAGGGAGGCAGATGTAGAGAGGGCTGGGAAGGCGTTGCTTGATAATAGGGTTGTATAGTGTGTTCTCAAAGTATAAATGGTGCCTCGAACCTGGAAAATCTCTGGTAGGGATGCCTAGATACGTCAAACTGACATCAAACTGACATTCCCCACCATCCCAACTCCAGTGTATGTCGTCACACTGACTGGAACAGGTTAGTAGGAGAGGATGGTTGAAGCCAGGACCCTGGACTCATTGAAAAAAGCAGGTTGATGCTGTGATGGTAGGGTGGTGGAGTGGGTCTTCAGTAAGAACGAGATAAGATGGGCTGATGGACCTTCTTCATCTAAATTTCTCTTGTGAGCAACAATAACAAGAGACATTGTTGGTGCTGAGCTAAGCTCTGTGCAGTCAGCGTGAGTGGATGTGGGTGGGTTCACTGCAGAGACTGACTTGCTTTACATCCTGAGAGGCTTTGTTTTTCCAGATTGGTTGTACCATGTAACCTTCTGTTTTTCTGACAAGTGCATTTTCAGCCTGAATGATGGTTAATGGTATTCTATGAAGTGCACTGTGCAGTGGAAAAATCAATGGCTCCTGGTTGAGCCGGGCTGTGCGGTTGGGGCTGGTGCTGCCTCTGCCAGCTTCTAATGCATTGCTTTGCTGTGTGATAGAACATTGGACACAAGTGCTTTCTCACAAAGATTGTGCCCTTTAAAAAGAGAGTGGGAAGAGTGGCACTGCACAGACTGGGAGCTGGGCACTGAGCCAGTAATTGAGCCGGGCTGTGGGGGATTGCACAGCTGATGCAGGCATATGGCAGCTTCTCTTGGACTCGTTCTTTCTGCACCTCTTGCTTGCCAGCTGTTACACCTTTGCCATCGCTCATCTAACAAGGTTCACACTGCGACTGCAATGATTGGACAGGGAAGGAACCGTCACTAGGAAGCTGCCTGGCAGCACTGCCCTTGTGCCCATTCTGGGGAACTCCTGAACTAGTCAAACATTGTAAGCATTTTACAATCAGCTCACAGCAGAAGGGTGGTACTGAACCTGAGGAGCTGAGACATGCTGCCCTAAAATCATAACCACAGAAAAAGTGAATAGCAGGAAAGCCACCAGCAAGTGTCAGTCTAGTTTTCTCAAATGCATTTCTTGCGCAACTTTTTAGGAATGGAGGAAATGCGCATCTTTCCAGAGCTGCGATGGTGTGGGCCTGTGTGTATGGCCCACTACTAAGGTGTTGTAAAGATCTTTTAAGACCTGTTTTTCAGTTGCGTGCCACAGATCACAGATGGTAGCGTGATCAGTGGGGAGCCTTTTGCTGGGTTGGGTGCCAGCACTTGATATTGTGTTGATATTGTATTGATTGGATATCAAGACATTATCTTACAGGGTGTCCACAAAGTCCTCTTACGCCCCTGTTACAAACAAGCGTTATGAGACAACAGAGGAACCGAAACAAGCTGTCTCAGATGCATTTCGCCTTGGAACTCCATCAGGTTACGGAAGATGTCACACCGACGGATCATTATCTGTCATGAAACGAATGGTGTTCACACCGATCCTTTGGATGTCTAAATATTGTACAGTTAAACACTTGTACTGAATACAGTTAGGTACTTCTAAATACAATTATCATCATTTTTCCACATGTGTCAGTAGTTGGTCAAAAAAAACATGGGGTTAACAGGTCTTTGTGGGGACACCCTGTACATGAAAGATGCTGAACAAGTGCAGGTTATTGTAACTGTGACAACCAGTTTAAGGTGGGATGATCCCTTGACAATGTAAAAGTTACACTGACTTTTCTTAAAAGTGAATGAAATCCCACTGGGGGAGCTAAAGCGGTGAGTGCTTGCTCTCTCACAAGTGGTCCTGCTTGGCACTCAGGGCCTTGCAATTCCACAGAGGAACTGGTTCATTCACAGAATCCGTGACAGTCAGCAACAGGATAGCAGGTCAAACGTAGGTCAGACAACGTTGTCTCATTTCAATTGTGAATGTGAAAGCTCGGTGTAAGCAGGGGATGGCTTGCGCTGGGCAAGTGTCACGCTTGCTGGTGGGGGAGGTGTTCTGTGTGCAGGTTACAGTAATCGCATTGTCACTAGTTACTGGTGGAAAGGATTGTGGAGCATCGATAGAGTGGACTGACCGAATGCTGACGTCTCACACAGCAATAGCTCCTGCGTTAAATTAGAGTAAGCCCTGATAGAGATCAAAGGCCCCACGAAAATGACATTGTATTATCTACGCTGAAACAAAATGGAGTAATTTCAGATTTGGGGTTTGTAGAATATTTGATTTCCTGTAACAGGTTATAACTGCTGAGCTCATCGATGAGATAATTAGACTTTGGTCCTCCCGTGTGATAACAACAACTTGCATTTGTATAGTGCCTCTCATGCAGGGTAGCGTCCCAGAGCACTTCAATATTTTGATGATGCTATTGTCAGACACCCACTGACCCTTGCAACAAGAACAACATCAACATCTTGAATTATATAGCACCTTTTATATAATTTTAAAATTTAAAAGCATTAAACAGGTATCAACTTTGAGCCATTCCTCAGATATGGCCTTTGATCAGCCGTCGTACTGGTAGATGACAGATGGTAGACTTGTCAATGGGTGTGTTGAATATCTGTGTAAACCAATGGCAAGTACAACAACCACAAGATTATATTTGTATAGCGCCTTTTAAGTCGGGAGGATGCCCCAAGGCGCTGGACAGAGTATAGCATTTCAGACCCGAACTGGGCTCAGGGAGCGAGAAGGGAGGGGAGGAGAAGGTGGGTAACCGCTGGCATGGTTGAAGATGGAAGGTTTTGAGGCGAGACTTGAAGGAGGCTAAGGAGGGGGCGAGGCGGATTGATTGGGGGATGGAATTCCAGAGGTTGGGGGCAGAGTGGCTGAAGGCTCTCCTGCCAATGGTGGGGCGGGTGGGTCGGGGGACGTGGAGCAGGCCGGAGCTGGCTGAGCGGAGGCAGAGGGCGGGTTGGTAGGGGGTTAGGAGGTCGCAGAGGTAAGGTGGGGCGAGGCCATGGAGGGCTTTGTAGGTGAGGACCAGGATCTTGAGTTGGATCCTCTGAAGGATAGGGAGCCAATCGAGTCAGGCGAGAATGGGGAGATGGGTTCGCGGAGTTTGGTGCGGGAGAGAACACGGGCTGCAGAGGTCTGGATTATTTGCAGTTGTGTTTGCGTTTGCATAGTCGAGCCTGGATGTGATGAAGGCATGAACAAGAGTTTCAGCGGCCTGAGGGGTGAGGTAGTGACGGAGTTGGGCGATGTTACGGAGGTGAGGGAAGGCAGAGCGGGTCATGGCTTGGATGTGGGGAAGAAAAGACAGTTGAGGGTTGAACAAGACACCTAAGTTCCTGAAAAATAGAGTTGGGTGTCATCCGTATACATATGGAAGTTGACCCCATGTCTGCGGATGATCTTACCAAGGGGGAGCATGTAAATATTAAAGAGGAGAGGGCCAAGAACAGAGACCTGGGGGACGCCAGACGTGACAGTGTGGGGGCTGGAGGAGAAACTGTTAGAGACAACAAAGTGGAGACGGTGAGAGAGATGGGATTCGATCCAGGCAAGGGCAGGTCCACAAAGATTAAGTAAAGAGGAGAGGCGGTGTAGGAGGATGGAGTGGTTGACAGTGTCGAAGGCGGCAAAGAGGTCGAGGAGGACAAGGAGACAGAGGGAGCCCTGATCACAGATGTTCAGAATGTCATTCGTGACTTTGACCAGGGCTGTTTCCATGCTATGGGCAGCGCGGAAGCCGGATTTGGAGGGGTTCAAAGAGGGAATGGCGCGAAAGAAAGTAGCGGAGCTGGGACGTCACGACTTGTTCCAGGACCTTGGAGAGGAATGGGAGGTTAGAGATGTGGCTGTGGCTGGAGAGTAGGGATGAGTCCAGGGAAGGTTTTTTCAGGATAGGAGTGATGACGGCTGTTTTTAGGGGGGACGGGAACTGAACCGGTGGACAAGGAGAGGTTAATGACATCGGACAGGAGAGGGGCCAGAAGATGGAGCTGGGAAATGAGAAGAGAGGAGGGGCTGGGATCGAGGGAACAGGTGGTGGGTTTAACATTGCGAACGATGGAGGTGAGGGAGGAGGGAGAGACAGGGTCGAAGGAGTATAGGAGGGAATGGGTGGGTGGGGGGAGGGGTGGGTCATGAGGATGAGGTGATGTGGGGGTGGCGGTGCACAGGGCAGAGGTGGCTGAATGTATCCCCTCGATTTTGGATTCGAGGAAGTCCAGCATCTCCTCACAGTTGGAGTTTGAGGAGAGGATGGGTGAGGCATGGAAAGGTAGACGGAGGAGACGGTTTGTGGTGGAAAAGAGAAGCCTGGAGTTGTCCTTTGCCTCCAAGATACCTTAGAGTAGAAAGAGGATTTAGCGGAGGCAAGAGCGTAGCGGTAGGTCTCGGTATGATGAAGCCAAATCTGCCAATGGACCGTTAGTTTGGATTTGGTCCGAGCACGTAACCGGCGAAGTGTGAACTAAAGTAATATTGATTTGGGCTGCTATTTCAAAAACACTTGGACATTAGGTTTGATCAAGAGGCAAGTGCAGTGATCTGGTGAAGTAACTGGTGAAGTGTGAACCAAAGTAATATTGATTTGAGCTGCTATTTCAAAGCAGTTGGACATTAGGTTTGATCAAGAGGCAAGTCCAGTGATCTCTTATTTATCTTCCCGACTTCAATGAAATTTCTCTGCTGCAGTTGTGCCCGTCACGCAACGAGAACTTTCATTACAATACCTGCAGGATGCTTCTCCGCCTTAAGACTTTATGATTTGTGCGATGGTCAGCATTTACTGAGCTCGCCAGCTGAAAGTGCTTCCAAGTTGCGTGACTGTCCCAATGCAGTCGTTCTGTGGGTAATTGCGGTGTGTGTGTGTTGCTGACAAATATAGATCAGGAAGGACTGAGGTTTGGTCACTGCTTCCGAAGCAACTTGCTGCTGCAGGAGTGCAGAGTGTTGGAGCTACGCACAGGTTGT